TGTGTCCTCTACCTGCTTTTCTTTGGCAGTCCCCTAGTCTTACAGTCTTTTGTCAGGTTTTTATAATGGTCATTAATGTATAAAGGGTCAAGTTTGTTATGTTTGTGCAGACTGTACAGCTTAAATATTAAAGGATTGGTTTAAAAAGCACTTGCCTGTCATTATAACGGGTGAAATGAGTTTGCATCTTGGATCATGTAAATACTGGTAACATTAATGAGATTTCATCTTGCTCTGAGTTGAGTGTATGAGCTTTCCTAGTGTTGTACTTTGACATTTTAAGTTCATTAGGTTTTTTGGGCCACATACTGACATAGATGTTGTTGATTAGATTTTGCTGCCCTCATGTAACTTCTGTTGTATTAAGACAAATATAGCATTATCGTGCTCTTGGCTGATGATTTGAAGGTCTTTTGACAAGGCCTGACAATGGCTATAAACTCTTCAAAAGGCTTGTCAGATTCTTTAACCCAGCTACTGGCTCTTTACCTGGCAAGTTTGGATAAGCTGCATGCTTGCATTTTATCTAAATTTTGCGCTGTGTAATCAAGCATGTTTCAAGATGTTGGCACACTACTTGATCACCAAGACATTCAGGATTTACAGGCAGATTTGCGGTTTATTGGATTAGGCTCATAGCTGGAGCTTGTTTGACTAAAGCCTTCCCCTGATTAGCTAAAAAGCTTTTCTCAGTCTTATGTGAGGTATTAATACACGCTAATTTTAGTGGAGAATGTCTTCTCATTTATTCACATTACCATCTGCTTTTCTATATGGTTATTGTCAGTCCTGTCTATATGCAATACTGTCTGGCAAGGAGGACAGAAAATGGATGACTACAATGTTGATATTAAAGATTTAAAATAACTGTTAACAAGTAGTGTATATGTATATATTTGTTACTGGTCTTTCTATTTTATAATGTGCAGCCTAAATGAATATAACTGCCCTTGTTTCTGTAACTTTTTGTGTTTACTAATGTCTTGCACATTTTCATTGTGTAGTTGTATTTCTCAACGTGTACAGCTCTGTAATATATCACAAAATAGTTATGTGGAATAAGTAAGACAGTAATAGTATGATTGTGTGGATTTTATTTTAGAATGGCATCTTAGTAGTTATGTTCTTGTCTGCAAAAGAACCTCAGGAGGCTTTGTAACTCTTATACTGAACTATATTTTCTGTTTGCTTTAATGATTTGGTAGTGTATAAATTAATTTTTGCATATGAGAGAGCAGAAGTAGGAATTTGGTGGGAAAAAGTATGCAGAACTCTTGAATTCCACAGTGTCCTTGAGAGAGTTACATAGAGAATTGGAAGGCAAACATTTCCAGTTGGTTTGTAGCATAGAATTGTTTTTGTGGTAAATTTGAATCCTGTTAAGTCAGTCTTGGTGCTTTCTGTTTTAGATTGACATTTGTAATGAACATTACTGCAATAATAAAATTGTAAAATGAGATTAAGAAGTCTCAATTGATAGGTCACAGCTATACAGGTGTTAAATTAGTAAGAAATCAAAAAGTGAATAGCATTATCTATTGAGAAGTCTGTGGACTTCTAGTGTAGCAAGTACTGCGCAGTCTTTATGGTCTTTCTATCTCCTCAGCTATGGAGTTTACATAGCAGAATCTGCTCAGGGAGTGTTCTTACAAGCATTGTGCTTATTAATGAGCTGCTTACCCAGTAAGTGAATGGAAAGAAGTCTTTTAATGAGGAAGAAGGATAGTGTAGACGCACGGATCTGACAGTGTATTTCCACTAAAAATGACATAGCTGGCTGCTCTTTGTGGTCACTGGATAGGGAACAGGACCCTAAGATGAATGGAAGCAGGTGGGAAAAAAGATCCTGTGTTAAAAAAAAAATGTATTTTTTGCAGTTCAGTCAAGCTGATCAGAAACTCTGCCTGTCTGTTGCTACACATGTCTTTATGATTAGTTAGAAGTTATTAATTCTGCCTGTGATACAGATTTGGGTTCATTACAGTACTGTTCAGTTCTATGCTTGAGCTTTTGTTTAGTTCCAGAGATGAAAAAAACCCCAAAACCTAGTTAGTATCTTTAGTTTGGTATGTTTTGCAAACAGGAGTTTAGGAGTCAAGCAGCAGGCAGACATGGTGGCATGTGTAATTATGGAAGTTAGATTGACAGTTGCTGTTTATTAGTTCGATTAACAATCCTTAAGTTAACTAATTTCTTCATTGTGGCTGAGTGCTAGGGTATAAGTAGTGCATTCAGTACATTGTTGCTTTTAAAGCAGCTCAGGTGTTAAAACCGATGTGTTTTGGTGAGATGTCTTCCTTGAGAGGATTTTTTATCATGCTTTGTGTGATAATTAGTCTGTTGTGCCTGGTGCTTGAAATCAGATACTAGCTGAAATCATCCCAGCTTTTCTCATAGCTGAACCACTTGCATATAGCTTTTACTTGTCTCTACCCATTTTCATAAGGAGTGTATGAAATAATTGATCTTTGAGAGTTACACTTCTTCACCTAAGGGAAGTTTAATCCCCAAAACTTATGTAAGACAGAGCCTCAGGTTTGTAGGAACATACACAGACACTGTGCTTGCATATGTTTTTTGCCCATAGACAAAACTAGGATAAAAAGGTTGTTTAGCTGTGCAGATGCAGTGTTTAACTTAGAGCTCAGAATTAGAGAACTGGGGAGGTTGGAAGGGACCTCTGGAGATAGTCCAGTTTCCCTGCACAAAACAGGCTCCACTGCATTGAATGGCTCAGGCAGTGTTGAACTGGCTTTTGAATATCTTCAGAGATAGACACTCCACAACCTCTTTGGGCAGCCTGTTCCAGTATTCGATCACCCCTGTGCTATTTTTTTTACTATGCTTAAGCAGAATTTAATGTATTTGGTTTGTGCCTACTGCCAGTTATACTGTCTCTGGCCACCACTGGGAAGACTCTTGCTTTTTATAGCCAATTATGCAAGGATAAGATCACAGAATCACAGACTCACTGAGGTTGGAGGAGACTTCTTGAGAACGTGTAGCCCAACACCACTGCTCAAGAAGGGTCAGCTAGAGCAGGTTGATCAGCACTGTGTCCATTTGGGCTTCGAGTATCTCTAAGGATGGAGACTCCACAACCTCTCTCTTCCGGTGGTTGACCATGCTCACAGTGAAAAATTGCTTCCTGATGTTCAGGAAGAACCTCTTGTGTTTCAGCCAGTGCCCAGTCCTGTCATGGCACTGCTGATAAAAGCCTGGGTCCCTCCCCCTTGCACACTCCTGCAGGTATTTATGTACATTGATATGGTTCCCCCATTGCTTGTCTCTCCTAGTCTGGACCCTCCTACCTCCCTCAGATAGATGCCCCAGTCCCTTCAGTATCTTTCTGGGCCACTTGACTGGCTAGCAACATTCCTCCAAACCCAGCTGAGGACACCTTTAGGCACCTTTGCTGCATGTGCACATTGCTGGCTGTGTTTCCCAAACCCTCCACCCTGCAGGTGGAGCACTTTGCACTTCCTCTTGTTGAACTTCATGAGGTTCCAGTTGGCCTGTTTTTCCAGCCTGTCCGGGCCCCTCTGGATGTCAGTACAACCCTCTGGTATATCGGCCAATCTTCCCATTTTTGTATTGTCTACAAATACCACATTGAATTAATTGGAAATAGTTTCTGTGATTGGTCTTGGATAAAATTACATGTCAGAGAGATATTGAAGTAGTGAGACAGCAATTCAGTTATTAGTTAGCTGAACCAATTCCAACTATTGCTTGTTGCAGTATGTCCTTCTACCCCCCCAAATCCGTTAGTGTTTTAAGAATGCTTGACTTGGTTTGGGGAAACTGAACTCAGTACTGGGCATGTAAGTGGATAAAGAACACTATTGAGAAGTTCATCTATCCACTACAGGAAAGAATATTAGTGGTGTAAAAGACAAATTCGTGAGTGGATGCTGAAGTAGCTTGCTTACAAAAAACCCCAAAACCTCACAAAAAACAAACCAATCAAAGAATAAGTAACACTCCACCTCTGCCCTCTCTGCCTCCTCACAAAGCCCCCCAAAACTGCACTGACAATGTTGGGTTATACTGGAAGAGTTGAGGGAAGCATGTTAATCTGTATGCTATAATGAAATAACTGCTCACTGCTGGGTATCATCTTTTATACAGTCAGTTGAATGGGCTGAAAATAGTAAAATGATGAATAATGAAGGACTATTTCATTTTTTTCTCAGTGGAGAAATAGAGAGTTTGATATTTTTTTTAAGAGGTGGAGAGTGTGTGTATGTATGTGTATGTATTTCACTGATTTATATTCTTGTTTAATACATATAAAAGTGAAAGCCTAAAATCTGATTTTGTACAGAGGAATAAAATACCTCTTTTGATTATATTTCTAGTGACACTTTAGTGTCAGTAAAACGTTATAAGTAGTAGGCACTGTCTACTGTACTTCACAGTGAAGGAAAGCATAGCTTCATCTTTGGTCATAAATCTGAGTTTCGTTTTCCTAGAACTGGTCATAGGAGCAAGATTGTACACGGAACTTTAATGGGTGGGAAAAAATAAAGGGTGCGTTATATATGAGCCAAGTGTTTACTGCTGAGGGAAGTTATCCCACTTACATATGCTGAGGTGTGTTTGCCTGCATGGGCTTGATAATTTAAATGCAAAAATACTCCCAAGTTAAAGTGGTACTAATTTTCAGAATGTGCAAGTTGTAGAAATCTGGTCAATTTAATGTCGAACAGGGTTGAAAGTAGTGTAGTGTGAGGAATAGTACGTTACTGAAGGTGGGAGCATAGAAGAAGTCTAATTAAGTACTAACTAGAGAGTGATGTGCTGGGTGAAATGGAGAAGCAAAAAGAAGAAAAATCAGGACACGAAAAGCAGACTAAAAGTTGAAATACCTGTTGGAGGGTGAAACACAGAAAGACATAAAGGCAACCTCCATGTAGAAATGGAAGTCACAGAGATCGCTGACCGTCTTTATGTGTATCATTTGCATGCTTTGTTAAGATTTCAGAGAATGAGGGCTAATAATAGTTCAGTTGTTAAACTCGATACAGGAGCTGATACAAGAGTTAAGAAATCGAGGTGCTCTTTCTCTGTGTTTATAGTGTGACTGGGAAGTGGGTAATTGGTTTTCTTCATACACTAAATGGGAATGTTTTATCAAATGCATAGCATTGTTACTTTAGATAGTGTCTGTGTAATGTAAATCTCTAGAGAGGAAAAGGCAGCAACTTGCAGATGGTTCGACACAGGAAGATGCTACTGTGATATTAAAGGTTAACTAGAGGAAACATGCCATAAAAATGGAGGTATGGACTTGACTGTCGTGGTAGTGTTTGTGCTGGGTAAGGGCCAGATATTCCTGAAGGAGTAAGGAGAAGAAGTATGCATGTGTGCCTTTTATGGTAGCATGGGCAGAGTATTTTGAAAGCTTTTTTCCTGTTTGAAACATGTATGTCAAATCTCAGAATTTGTTTTACTGATAACTCTTTACAGTGTGTTTATTTTGTTTTTTTTTCTTGCCTTTTTTTTTTCCCTTAAAAGCTAGATTGAAAGGAACTGCAATGTCTGCTGTCATCTCAGACAGTCCTCCAAACCCAAGCTGCAAAATCATGACTTTTAGGCCTTCGATGGATGAATTCAGGGAGTTCAACAAATACTTAGTGTACATGGAATCACAAGGTGCTCATAGGGCTGGAGTTGCAAAGGTAAACTTCTATAATGTAGAAGGAAAATGGTTCCTAATACTTGTTTTTTACAGTATTTGTGTTTTGCTGATTACAAAACTGGTCATTTGAGTATGTAGTTGTTTTTTTTTTCTTTTTTTACAAATTATTTTCGATTACTAGATTCTGAACTGTTTTAAGAAAGAGCTTTCTGGTATCTCTGATGTTTCATGAAAACTAATGAAGACAATGTATATTGTTTTCTCTCTAAAAATCAACTGTTCCCATGTTTACAACAGCAAAAGAAGATTTCTTCTTAAAGGCAGATTTAAACTAGTTTTTGGCAAATCAGAACAAAATAGGGAGTTTGTAGTGTAAATTGCAAAATCCAGATCTACCAGGTGTTGAACTTGGTGTTTTAGGGTTGTGTGTAACTTTACTGGAGCAAATAATCTAACTATTGTTAATGGGTGTCTGCATGAAGATAGTGTTTGATGAGATAGTGTTTGAATGGAAATAGTTTTCTTTTAAATGGTGATAGTCTTACACTTTTGTTAATGAGAATTGGAGGTGTACTAACTATCATTGCATTGCCTTTGCGATCAGGACTAGAAATGTGATAGACAACAGTGGGAACCTTAGCTGAGCTTTTCCCAAATTCATTTATATTATGGAACCTATTTATTTGTGTGGGGAGGATCTAGTAATAGCAGGGGATGAAGAGTAAACAGCAAATTCATCATAGTGACTTCTGCTCAACAGATTTACACCATTAATGTGTATGTGAGCAGGAGATTCTAGCTATGTATCATTCTGTGAATTATGTACATGGATCCAACTTGAAAAAAAATATTGTTTTCATATTGTTTATAATAATAGCTTTACTTCAGCTGTTCATAGTTTCTAATCCTGTTCCATGGGGATCTAGCAAAAAACCTTATGACCAGCTGGGGAGATGATACTGATCATCTTCTCTTTCAGTTAGTTTTTTCATGTCTAATGTGCTTGCTTCTTTGGCATATTGTGTATAAAACAAAGACGGGTATGGATAAATTGTACTCTTTACTTTTTCTGGCTATATGATGCTATTTTATGAACCAGGGTTAGCCTGTAAGATGAAAAAAAAACTCAAATAAAAATAAAAAAATAAACTAGTTTATAAAGAAAAATATGTGTGATATGCTTTTTATTATGGCTATGTCTGTTGTAGACCACAGCTAGTCTTTTCATTCAATAGCACTCAAAACTAGAATCTTCTTAATTAAAGAAAAAAAGCACCTTGCATTTCATTTTCTTTTAAAAACTGTATATCTGTTTACCTCTGGCAATTCTGAGGAGGTGTATCATCAAATATGATACTGTAATCCTTAAAAAGTACATGCAAACTTCTGTTCTTATTTCTGAGACATTCATAATAAATCAGGGCTTCAGTTACTTTCCATCAGGGTCTTTTGTGTTTATTATTTTCTGGGAATGCTGGTTAGTGGCTTCCTGATACATGGTGCTAAATGCTCTTCTGAGGCTGCTGGTATACTTAAGATTAATTGTGGGACTAAAGTATGTCATGGTTTGAGCCCAGTGTGCTAGTCTTTTATGTGTTTGAGCTTTAGCATATCTGGAAAGGGAGGCTTCTTCATGTCTTGGCATTCTTAGTTGCAAAATTTCAGCCAGAAGTGTAAAAAGATAATGAATTTGTCTCACTGGAAATATTCTTCATATTTATTTGAGGTATGAGTATGTCTTCTGTTGTTACTCTGTTTTGGTCCCTTATCTTGGTTCTGGTTCCTTTCCTGCTATCCAGCAACTAAACTTCCATGTGTAGCCAGTGTAGGGAAAAAAAGGTAGACCCATTGAGGATGTCCTGAGAAGACCAATGGACATAGTATCATTAGGAAAGAATATGAAAAAAAAATAATGGGAAATAGTTTTACCTTCATTGTATAATTTTAAATTTCTGTAATATTGCTGCTATCTTCATGTCCTTAGTGTTCTCTACCCTCCCTTCCCCCCATTAACTCTTTAAGGAGATTATCTTTGTGAAGATTTGGGTTAGATGTAATTTTCTGCAGTAACCAAGCAAGAGATTAATTCTTGCTCATAGGAAATGGGTATGATTTGAATTTTCACGTTACTGAAGGCAGAAATGACATGATACCAATAAAATATACTAATGCTGTCATCTTAAAATCAGTAAACTTATGATTAAAAATGCAAGCTTTGTTTCCTGTAAACTTTGTTTTGAAGTTGAAACACCATAAAGAAATATTGTAGTAGGCCAAAGCAGCAGTTACTCTTGTAAGTTAGGCACATGAATATGTGAAACTGACTTTTTTAAATGTCAGATGCAACTGTGATATCTACTAGGTGTTCCAGTGTTTTAAAGTATAATGCCGATGTTGGCCATGGAATGGATGCAGGCATATCCTCTTTAGTTTAATTTTTTTTAACACTGTAAACCAGTGATCATGTTTACAGAAGAACAGAGGTTAGGCTCTGGTCTTTTCTTCTTCACCGTGATATGCTGCAAGATGCAGATGAGAATCCCATAACTGAGTTGAAAAAGAGGGGGTAGTCCATTATAGTAATTTAAGTGACAATCAAAGAGATATGACAGCTTTCAGGATTAGTATGAGAATTGAATAGTATGTTTTAGACGCATATTCCTAGTTAACACTGAGTAACCTGTATTAATTTTTAGTTTGCAAGCTTTTTTTTTAATTTCGTTAAATACAAATTGAAACCACTTTCTGTGCTCATGAGATCATGAGCAGCTTCCTTAAGAATGAAACTTTCGGTGTTGTTGCCGTTATCAAACTGTAGCTGTTTATTTTGTAGTTTTATCTGGATTATATAGGTACCATATAAGAAATGGTTACGGTATATTTTCTGGTGTTCTCATTAACCATCTCTCGAGGAGATGATTATTAGAGCTCTTTATCAGGTGGTCATCATCATGGCTTGACTTCGCGAACGAAGATTTGGGAAGGGCATTTACCCACGCTTACTACAAGCGCGCTGATGACTAAGAAGGCCAATGTGGGATAGGCAAATCCGGCTACAAAAAGCACAGCAGAAGGTCTCCTTGGGTGGAACAGGTGGGACACGATTCTTCCTGCGTTGTCTTTTCTCCTTGAGACTAGTTCCTCGTGAACTCTCAAAGGAGTCAGCGGCATTATGTATGGTGTGCCTCCAAGTCTCCCGATTGGAGGCCAAGGTGGACCACTGATGGTAGTCAATATGGCCAAGGCTAAGGTATTGTTTCAGGGAGTCCTTGTATCTCTTCTTTGGGGCACCTCTCTTGCGGCTACCGGTGGCAAGTTCACCATAAAACACGATCTTGGGGAGGCGGTGATCCTTCATCCTAGAGACGTGCCCTGCCCAGCGCAGTTGCAGTTTCAGCAATGTGGCCTCGATGCTGGTGACCCCTGCCTGTTCGAGGACAGTGACATTAGACACATAGTCAGTCCAATGGATGTTTAGAATTGTACGAAGGCAGCGCTGATGAAAGCGTTCCAGGAGTCGCAGGTGATGACGATAGATGACCCATGATTCAGACCCATATAAAAGAGTAGACAATACAATGGCTCTGTAGACACTGATCTTTGTACTTTTCTTCAGGTGTTTATTACACCAGACTCTTTTATGGAGTTTTCCAAAGGCACTATATGCCTTTGCTATTCTGTTGTCTATCTCTCTGTCGATCGTGGCATCCGAGGAAATGATGCTTCCCAGATAGCTGAACTGCTGAACTGTCTTAAGCTCTGACTCGCCGATGGTAATATGGGGATGGCGATAATCTTCTTGGGGTGCAGGCTGGTAGAGGACTACTGTCTTATTCAAGCTGACTTCCAGCCCAAAAACCTCAGCCGCCTCCGCAAAGCAAGATGTTAAACGCTGCAGAGCTGCTTCTGTGTGGGCAACAAGGGCGGCATTATCAGCAAAGAGCAGTTCACGGACAAGATGGTTTAGGGTCTTAGTGTGGGCCTTCAGTCGCCTTAGATTGAATAGGCTACCATCGGTACGATATCGAATATAAATGCCGTCTTGTTCGTCGAGGTCTGCTGTAGCCCTTTGGAGCATCATGCTGAAGAAGATTGTGAATAAGGTCGGTGCGAGAACGCAACCTTGTTTCACACCATTGGTTATTGGGAAAGGCTCAGAGAGTGCATCACCATACCTGACTTGGCCTTGCTGATCCTCATGTAACAGAATAATCATTTTCAGGAACTTGGGGGGACAACCTAATCGTTCTAAGATCAGCCACAGGCCTTTCCTGCTCACAGTGTCAAAAGCTTTGGTGAGGTCAACGAAAGTTACGTATAACCCCTTATTCTGTTCTCTACACTTTTCTTGCAATTGTCTGAGAACAAATACCATGTCTGTGGTACTTCTATTAGCCCTGAAACCACACTGACTTACAGGTAGAAGTTCTTCTGCGATGGCAGGTACTAGTCTGTTCAATAGTATTCTTGCAAGAATTTTTCCAGCAATGGAGAGCAGAGTTATACCACGGTAGTTTGAGCACTCTGACTTGGCACCTTTTTTCTTATACAGAGTGACGATGATTGCGTCACGAAAGTCTGACGGTATTTTGCCTTGTTCCCAACAGCACACAACTAGCTCATGAAATTTAGCATGGAGTGCTTGGCCTCCATGCTTCCATATTTCAGGTGGGACTCCGTCAACCCCAGCTGCCTTGCCAGTTTTCACCTGCTGTATGGCCTTAAGAGTCTCTCCCATGGTAGGGGCTAAATCCAGTTCGTTTTTCACCAGATGTTGCAGAATGTGCTGGATTCCTTCGCCTTGGACTACACGATTAGCACTAAAGAGGGTTTGAAAATGTTCAGACCAGCGATTCAGGATGGAGATTTTATCTGTAAGAAGCGTTTGGCCATCTGCACCAAGTAAGGGGCTTTGAACCTGGAATGTGGGTCCATACACTGCCTTCAGAGCCTCATAGAATCCTCTGTGGTCACCCAAATCTGCACATAGTTGAGTCTTTTCTGCTAGGTTGACCCACCACTTGTTCTGGATGTCTCTAA